ATGGGGGGTGAACCCCATGGCCGGCCAAACTCACCTTGCTCTCTTGCCCAGTACATGGGCTGTGTGGAAGTGCTCCAGTCCATGAGGGCTCTGGATTTCAACACCAGGACACAGGTCACCAGGTGAGCTCTGCCTCTCCCCAGGGGCTGCTGCTTTTGGGGAGGGGTGAGGGGGGTTATCTGAGTCCCACGCAAGCCCCTGGTGGCATGTGGGGCTTTCAGTGGGGGCCAGGCTGCTGCAGCCCATCAAACACTAACACCAGTGCGGTTTCCCCAGCTGGCGCTGCCAGGGAGGCTTCCACTTTGTCACCCTGTCACTCCTGTGCTGGTTCCTGTGTCCTCAGTCCCATGGTTGGGGCGTCTTTGGGGGGCCAAGCAGTGGGGGACTGACATCTCTCTGTGCTCCCTGCAGGGAGGCCATTGGGTTGGTGTGTGAGGCTGTGCCCAGTGCCAAGGGAGCCGTGAGGAGGAGGAAGGTGAGGCCAGGCTGGGGAGCTGCTGGGGGAATGCGCATGGTTGGCTGGGCGTGGGCAGAGGATCAGATTCTAGCCTGGCTGGCTGGGCTGTGCTGTGCTGTGCTGTGCTGTGCTGTGCTGTGCTGTGCTGTGCCGTGCTGTGAGCCCGGGGCTCTGATCTCCCACTGTGGCTTGGGCCAGGGCCAGTGGTGAGGATGAGGTACCCGTCTCTGCTGTAGGGGTAGTGGGATGTGCCCTGTTCACGTGCCTGCTGGGCTGTGTGTGGCCTGAGGAGCCCCTTCCCACCTTGCCCTTTGCCTCCAGCCCTGTGGCCGCTCCCTGAACTCCATCCTGGGCAAGAGCAACCTGAAGTTTGCTGGCATGCCCATCACCCTGACCATCTCCACCAGCAGCCTCAACCTCATGGCCTCAGACTGCAAGCAGGTGAGAGCGGGGAGGGGTGGAGGCTGGGCTGGTTTTGGACTAGCAGGAATCCTCGTGTCCTCCACCCCAGGTCTAGCAGGGGATGTCCAAAGGAATCTCTGGGTGGGCTGTGTGACTTGCTGAGTGCCCACCTCCCTTCAGGCCCCAGGGCTGAAGAGGTGGGAGAAATATCCCACGTCCTTTGTGAGATCTCTTCTGGAGACTGTGAGACCCACGTTCTCCTGCCTGAGGCCAGGTCTCCTGGTTTTGACCCTGCTCTCAGTGGCCCTAGTGATGTCCCAGTCCTTTTCCTGGAGGCCTGTGGCTCATAACCAGGGTTTCAGTGGCTTGTGAGCCCCCATGGCAGGCCAACCCTGGGGGGAGCAGGACATGCCAGCCATGGCTGGGTGCCCAGGAGCTCCTGGCTGTGTCCAGTGACCTCTCCACCTTGCAGATCATTGCCAACCACCACATGCAGTCCATATCCTTCGCATCTGGGGGAGACCCGGTGAGTATGCAGAGTCTCCATCCCTGCTCCCTGCTAGGGACTGGTGCCTCTCCTGCCCTTTCTTGAGGTTTTGGGCCCTGTGCTCCCTGGCAGCCCTTTCTCACTGCTGGTGTCTCACCCACAGGACACAGCCGAGTACGTCGCCTATGTTGCCAAAGACCCCGTCAATCAGAGAGGTGAGGGTCCTCAATGCCAGAGCCCCATTTTGGGGGTGTTTAGGCCCAGCTCAGTGCAGGGGGAGGTGCTCGATGACCCTTAAGGAAGCTCTGGGGTGTACGGGGTAGGCTCAGGGGTGAAGAACCTCACTGCTGGAGTTCTGCAATCCCATCCCACCATTTTCTGCCTAGCCTGCCATATCCTGGAGTGTCCTGAGGGCTTGGCGCAGGACGTGATCAGCACCATCGGTCAGGCCTTCGAGCTGCGCTTCAAGCAGTACCTGAAGAACCCCCCAAAGCTGGTGACCCCTCACGACAGGTCAGGGCAGGGTTGTGTGAGAAGGATAAAGGTGGGAGGGTGTCTGAGATTGGTTTTGGAGAGGGAACGCAGCCCTGGCTGCTGTCGTGGACTTATCTGTGCTGTGCCTTCCCAGGATGGCAGGGTTTGATGGCTCTGCCTGGGATGAAGAAGACGAGGAACCAGCCCCGGATCACCAGTACTACAATGACTTCCCTGGCAAGGAGCCTCCCATTGGGGGGGTTGTGGACATGCGGCTGCGGGATGGGGCCGCTCAGACCCCGAATCACTTGGGGGCCACGCTGGTGAGGCTCTGGGCACGTCCTCCTTGGAAAGCTCCATCTTACAAGGGAGATGCAGGGACCCTGACTGGGCTATTGGTTCTGCTTGGGGTTATCCCACCATGAGAGTCATGGGATATGTCTCCCCAGTGTTTCTGGCAGCCCGGGGTGTGGGGAGTGGGAAGTGGAGGGAGCAAGAAGGGGAGTGGGGGCTCACCACTGCTTCTCCCTGCAGCCTGTGGGCCAGTCCAGTGGGGAGCATGACCCCCAGAAGCAGCACACTCCTGCCCAAGGTAACGTGACAGGTGTACCTGGTCCCAGTCTTCTTCCCTAGGCCCCGAGCTGAGGGCTGAGGTGGGCTGGAAACCTACTGACCCCAGTGCTCTTGGTTAGCAGGGAGAGAGAAATACCCAGCTCCAGCGGGCACATCTGGCCGCGTGGACCTGTTTGATGACCCATCCTATGTCAACGTGCAGAACGTGGACAAGACACGCCAGGCCCCAGCCACGGGCACCACAACCACAGCCAATGGCAGCACACAGAGGGACCTCTTCGACATGAGTGAGTGGGATGACAGCTGTGGCCAGGGCAGGGGTGGGTGGCTGCGGGCTTGGTCATGGTCCCCCTGCTCCTCTGTCCCTTCAGAGCCCTTTGAAGATGCCCTGCGTGTACCCCCGTCCGTGCCCATGGGGCTGCCCCCTGCCCAGGTGGTGGCCTCCATGGAGGAGCAGCTGAGAAGAGAGCCCTGGTACCACGGGAAGATGAACCGCAAAGAGGCCGAGAAGCTGCTGAAGGTGAACGGAGACTTCCTGGTGCGGGAGAGCACCACCACCCCGGGCCAGTACGTGTTGACTGGCCTGCAGGGTGGGCAGCCCAAGCATCTGCTGCTTGTCGATCCTGAGGGAGTGGTGAGTGCATGTTGGGGCCCGGGATGGAGCTCGGGACAGCTGGGGGGCATTAAAAGAGACACCAGGGCATTGGGGTTCTGCACCACTCATCAGGGGACAATTCTCAGCTGGCTTGGGGGATGGAGAGGGCCTGGTGGAGCGTGGGGGTGAGATGCAGTCTGTGCCCAGCCCGTGCCATGGAGGGCGGTGGCTTTAGCCCCGCCGTGGGCTCCGACAGCCTCCTGAGAACCCCTTTCCTGGTGCCCCAGGTGCGGACAAAGGACCATCGCTTCGAGAGCGTCAGCCACCTCATCAGCTACCACATGGACAATCACCTGCCCATCATCTCAGCTGGCAGTGAGATGTGCCTGCAGCAGCCGGTGGAGAGGAGACTGTGAGCGCCCGGTGGGCCCCGTGCGCAGCCCCCCCAGTGCACAGACCTCTGGCCCTGTTCCCTGCCCCAGGGAGCCCTCAGACTGCTGGGTGCTCTGCCCGGGACTGAGCATGGACTTGGCTGAGGACAGGGCCTGTCTCCCTTCACCCCGTGAGACTGGTGGCCATGGGGGGCTCAGGCTATGAGCGCCTGTGGGATGGGGGCTGCTAGTGCACAGCCCCTGCCCCTCCACAGCCCCTTTGCACAGCAGCTCAGCTCCCACCAAAACCCAGCCCTGCTGCTGTGCCATGGCCACTCTGGTGCTCTCCAGCACGGGCTTGGGTCTGGCAGGTCTGAGCCCCCCTGAGCTGGAGGCAGCCTGGCCTTGTCTCTGGCCCCTGGGCCAAGGAAGGGGGCCCATGGGGGGCTCGACTCCCCCAAGCACGAGGCCCAGCTGGCCCCACAGCGACTGTACCGGATCACTTTACGTGTTAACTCTGTGCCTTGACCCCGCAGGTCCCACACACTTATGCAAGGGCAGGGGCTGGGGACAGAGTCCCCCCCACTCCCCCCCGCACTCATCCCCCCTCCGTGCCATGCTCATGCTCCAGGACTTGTGCCACGACATCCCCTCCCTGCACGGGCGGCTCTGGCAGCCTCGGAGGGGTGGCGGGAGGACCCCCCTGCATGCACAGCCTAACCCCCCTCCAAGCCAAAGCACGGCCCTGCCCTCCTCCTCGCAGTCCGGGGCCCCCTGGCCCCACTATACCAAAGGAACTGGTGGTTGTATATTAAAGTTGGTATTTCTCTAGGCCCTGGCTGGTGTGAGCTGGGGGAGGGGACCACCGTGGGCGGGGAGTCCCCCACGGGCTCTACAGAGGGTCCTTTCGCCTTTTCCTCCCCCTCCTGCCCTTGTAAATGGTTCGGACCGTGTGTTTCCCTC